TTAATCCGGATCAAGTGTCCCTTAATCCGGATTAAGTGGCCCTTAATCCGGATTAAGTGGCCTTAATCCGGATTAAGGGTCCTTGACCTAGGTTTAAGGCATAATCCGGATTAAAGGCCACTTAATCCGGATTAAGGGACACTTAATCCGGATTAAGGGTCCTTGACCCAGGATTAAGGCTTAATCCGGATTAAGGTTTTATCCGGATTAAGGGCCACTTAATCCGGATTAAGGTGTATACGGATTAAAGGACATTTAATCCGGATTAAGGTTTTATCGGATTAAGGGCCACTTAATCCGGATTAAGGTGTATACGGATTAAGGGACATTTAATCCGGATTAAGGGACCTAGGTTTTCAAATCCGGATTAAGGGCCACTTAATCCGGATTAAGGGCCACTTAATCCGGATTAAGGCTTAATCCGGATTAAGGCATAATCCGGATTAAGGGACACTTAATCCGGATTAAGGATTAAGGGATTAAGGGGCACTTAATCCGGATTAAGGATTAAGGGATTAAGGCATAATCCGGATTAAGGGCCACTTAATCCGGATTAAGGGCCACTTAATCCGGATTAAGGGACACTTAATCCGGGGGACATTTAATCCGGATTAAGGGATTAAGGGACACTTGATCCCATTTAATCCGGATTAAGGATCCTTGATCCGGTTAAGGACCCGGATTAAAGGCCATCATTTAACCCGGATTAAAGGCCATCATTTAACTCGAATTAAGGGTAGGCAAAGGGGAAGAGCTAGAATTCTGAAATTTTGGATGTGGTTCACTGATGGAAAGTTAGAAGGATGTAGATGCTCCATTTTAGAAATTCGTACTTATGTCTATGAAAAGTACTAAATTTGGTACTATCTGCATTTAGTTGAGCGTAAAGAGATTGAATACTTAAAAATAGGAATTAGGATTACTATTGGAGTACAGGATTGAGATACTTATGTGTACTAAAATGTACTATGTTTGATACAACTTGATTATGTGCAAACGGATAGGCTGGACTCCAGACTTAAGGAATTAAAATTACTGTTGGATTGAGGTAGTTTAGGAAATGCGTAATTTTGGGAACATAAAGTACTAAATTGTACTAAATAATCATGGTCCGTTTTGAGAATATGCATAGAATCACTTTCTCCGAATTGGGAGAAGTTTGGCCCAAGGACGAACCGTATTGAAGTTGGGGAACTCGGTTCATATTTAGATATAGCTCAATATATAGTTTCGTCCGATTTAAAGTAAATGGTGCACCAAAGTCCTTATATATCTTTTGATTAGAACGAAATTTGGCATGGTGTACTGAATTAAGTCTAAAATGTTGTGTGCTACGTTTCTTGAAAATAGGTTCAGATTTAGATATATTTTCACTCGATTTTAAGTAAATTGTGTACTAAAGACTCAAAGTTTGTAAGACTGAAACACAATTAATCCGATCCGTTCCGGGGTCAATGACCCTTAATCCGTATTAAGCCTTAATCAGGGGTCAAGGATCCTTAAACCCGATTGAGTGTCCCTTAATCCGGATTAAGTGTCCCTTAATCCGGATTAAGTGATTAAGCCTTAATCCTGGGTCAAGGACCCTTAATCCGGATTAAGGGCCACTTAATTCGGATTAAGGGACACTTAATCCGGATTAAGGGACACTTAATCCGGATTAAGGGACATTTAATCCGGATTAAGGGACATTTAATCCGGTTTAAGGATCCTTGACCCCGGATTAAGGCTTAATACGGATTAAGGGTCATTGACCCCGGATTAAAGGCCATCATTTAACCCGAATTAAAGGTCATTGACCCCGAATCGAGGGTAGACAAAGGGGAAGAGCTAGAATTCTGAAATTTTGGATGTGGTTCACTGATGGAAAGTTAGAAGGATGTAGATGCTCCATTTTAGAAATTCGTACTTATGTCTATGAAAAGTACTAAATTTGGTACTATCTGCACTTAGTTGAGCGTAAAGAGATTGAATACTTAAAAATAGGAATTAGGATTACTATTGGAGTACAGGATTGAGGTACTTATGTGTACTAAATGGTACCAAGTGTCCCTTAATCCGGATTAAGTGGCCCTTAATCCGGATTAAGTGGCCCTTAATCCGGATTAAGGGATTTTCCGGCCCTTAATCCGGATTATGCCGGTGGCCCTTAATCCGGATTAAGCCTTAAACTTGGGTCAAGGACCCTTAATCCGGATTAAGTGGCCCTTAATCCGGATTAAGCCTGAAAACCTAGGTCAACGACCCTTAATCCGGATTAAGTGGCCTTTAATCCGGATTATGCCTTAAACCTAGGTCAAGGACCCTTAAGTGTCCTGGTTCACTGATGGAAAGTTAGAAGGATGTAGATGCTCCATTTTAGAAATTCGTACTCATGTCTATGAAAAGTACTAAATTTGGTACTATCTGCACTTAGTTGAGCGTAAAGAGATTGAATACTTAAAAACAGGAATTAGGATTACTATTGGAGTACAGGATTGAGGTACTTATGTGTACTAAATGGTACTATGTTTGATACAACTTGATTATGTGCAAACGGATAGGCTGGACTCCAGACTTAAGGAATTAAAATTACTGTTGGATTGAGGTAGTTTAGGAAAAGCGTAATTTTGGGAACATAAAGTACTAAATTGTACTAAATAGTCATGGTCCGTTTTGAGAATATGCATAGAATCACTTTCTCCGAATTGGGAGAAGTACCATAGTACCATTTAGTACACATAAGTAATTCAATCCTGTACTCCAATAGTAATCCTAATTCCTATTTTTAAGTATTCAATCTCTTTACGCTCAACTAAGTGCAGATAGTACCAAATTTAGTACTTTTCATAGACATAAGTACGAATTTCTAAAATGGAGCATCTACATCCTTCTAACTTTCCATCAGTGAACCACATCCGAAATTTCAGAATTCTAGCTCTTCCCCTTTGTCTACCCTCGATTCGGGGTCAATGACCTTTAATTCGGGTTAAATGATGGCCTTTAATCCGGGGTCAATGACCCTTAATCCGTATTAAGCCTTAATCCGGGGTCAAGGATCCTTAAAACGGATAAAATGGCCCTTAATCCGGATTAAGTGGCCCTTAATCCGGATTAAGGGACATCTATCCGGATGGTACCATTTAGACACATTAAGTACCTCAATCCTGTACTCCAATAGGATAATCCTAATTCCTATTTTTAAGTATTCAATCTCTTTACGCTCAACTAAGTGCAGATAGTACCAAATTTAGTACTTTTCATAGACATAAGTACGAATTTCTAAAATGGAGCATCTACATCCTTCTAACTTTCCATCAGTGAACCACATCCAAAATTTCAGAATTCTAGCTCTTCCCCTTTGTCTACCCTCGATTTGGGGTCAATGACCTTTAATTCGGGTTAAATTATGGCCTTTAATCCGGGGTCAATGACCCTTAATCCGTATTAAGCCTTAATCCGGGGTCAAGGATCCTTAAACCGGATTAAATGTCCCTTAATCCGGATTAAGTGTCCCTTAATCCGGATCAAGTGTCCCTTAATCCGGATTAAGTGGCCCTTAATCCGGATTAAGTGGCCCTTAATCCGGATTAAGTGGCCCTTAATCCGGATTAAGCCTTAATTCTGGTCCAAGGACCCTTAATCCGAATTAAGGGCCACTTAATCCGGATTAAGTGGCCCTTATCCGTATTAAGCCTTAATCCGGGGTCAAGGATCCTTAAACCGGATTAAATGTCCCTTAATCTGGATTAAGTGTCCCTTAATCCGGATCAAGTGTCCCTTAATCCGGATTAAGGTCCACTTAATCCGGATTAAGGGACACTTGGTACCATTTAGTACACATAAGTACCTCAATCCTGTACTCCAATAGTAATCCTAATTCCTATTTTTAAGTATTCAATCTCTTTACGCTCAACTAAGTGCAGATAGTACCAAATTTAGTACTTTTCATAGACATAAGTACGAATTTCTAAAATGGAGCATCTACATCCTTCTAACTTTCCATCAGTGAACCAGGACACTTAGTATAGAATAGGCGGTTTTGAATCACTTTTATAGCCAAAAAAGCTATTAAAAACAGTTTAGTCAATAAAAAACAGTTTAGGCTATAAAAACAGTTTTAGGCTATAAATATTGGACGATGTAATTGGAAAATTAGGTCATAAATTAAAATATTGATGAACATTGCGGGGTAATGAACTTTGAGATTAATGAAAAGTGTGTCAGAGATTGAAACATTGAATGATAATGAACTTTGAGAGTAATGAAAAGTGGATCACGGATTAAAGCATTGAGGGTGGTGGTCAGCGAGAAGAAAGATCTTTGTGAGTATTCGAGTGAGAGGGTAATATTATCATGTATCTGACTGCTAGACAGAAATATGAGGGAGACTGGTTGTGTGTTTGCATTTGTTGTTGTTTGTTACATTTCGTTGCTAGACAGAAATATGAGGGGAGCTGCCTGTGTGTCTAAATGTACTTGTAATTGTTGTTGTCATTTGCTGCATATTGATTCTAAGCAGAAATGTGCGTTCGAGTGTTCTTGTTGTCATTGTTGTTGTTGGGTTTCTTACATTTCGTTGGTAGAAAAAATTGAGGAAGGCTGCCTGTGCGTCTAAATATACTTTTTGTCGTTGTTTTTTTGTTTGCTGCATATCGACAAATCAGTTTAAGCAGAAATATGCGTTCGAGAGTTCTTGTTATCATTGTTGTTGGGTTTCTTACATTTCGTTAGTAGAAAAATTGAGGAAGGCTGCCTGTGCGTCTAATGTACTTTTTTTCTTTTTTTGTCATAGAATTCTATTTTTCAGGCTGGGAAATGATAATGAAAAATATTATTATGTGATTATTAAATTATAAGTTTTTCACATACATATTTTCTTATTTTTTATTTTTAAGATAAGAATGTATTATATACAAGATGTATATAGAAAATAATAGAGATATGATTTGGTAAATATCGAAAAACCTAGTTTAAATTTCGAAATATATTCAGTTTAAGAAAGACTTTGTAAGAGTAACATGGCAAATTTAATTAAAAATGAAAACATGGATATGGTAGAAACATTCCATATGGAGTCTGAGGAAATGGATGATCAAAGGATTGAGGAGCCTGAAGTACTGGAGGTTGCAAGAAATACAATCTTGCATGGAGCGCAACAAAGATTCTATATGGAGTCTGAAGAAAAAGACGAGCAACCTGAGGATTACACAGATGTAGAGCTCGAGAGAGCATGTAAGAATTATGAGGAAAAACAACAACAACAAATCAGTAATATGGAGTCTGAACAAATAGTCGATCAACCTGAAGAGTATCCAAATACACAGCTCGATAGATCATATACGAATCAGCAGGAAGAACAGCAACAACAAATCAGTCATATGGAGTCTGAAGAAATAGTCGATCAACCTGAAGAGTATCCAAATACACATCTCGATAGATCATATACGAATCAGCAGGAAGAACAGCAACAACAAATCAGGCATATGGAGTCTGAAGAAATAGTCGAGCAACGTGTGGAGTATACAGACACACAGCTCGATAGAGTATGTGAGAATTATGAGGTAGAACAACAACAAATCAGGCATATGGAGTCTGAACAAATAGTCGAGCAACGTGTGGAGTATACAGACACACAGCTCGATAGAGTATGTGCGAATTATGAGGTAGAGCAACAACAAATCAGGCATATGGAGTCTGAACAAATAGTCGAGCAACGTGTGGAGTATACAGACACACAGCTCGATAGAGTATGTGCGAATTATGAGGTAGAGCAACAACAAATCAGTTATATGGAGCCTGAATTAACAGAGGGGCAAAATTTGAGGGAATTAAGCCCAAGTGATCCATATTTTAATTCTCTAACAGAGGAAAATGAGCGACCCGAGCGAGCGATAATAACGTCAAATATTACAATATCAAGACCATCCGCACCTTTGGAGCCTGAATTAGTGAACGAAATCGACAACTATTTACGAAATAATATAACCCAAATTAGACAAATTGTTAATAATGAAGATAATGAAGATGATACGGAAACAATTATAAATAATTTTATAAATGATTTATATTAATATTTTACAATAAATAAATAAAAAAAAAATCTTGTTTATTTCTCTCTCTACAATGCTGTTAGTGGGAAAAGATTAGTTGTTTATTGAAAGACAGAGATGGAATTATTAATAAAAATGTAAATCCATTGATTAACATATAAATAGCTGCTACATTTATTTAAAAACATACAGTCTACAATCGAGTCTTATAATGATGAATTCCAGCGCAGTACTAGTAAATTCCTTCAACAGTCTGAACTTTAAAAAAATACTTTGTATAAAGGACATGGAATCTAACAAGGAATATATCATCAACGGAGCATATAAAACACAAACCAAGTTTGGAAAAAAAGTTGTTTTAAAACTAGATGACTCAATTTTATATCTCCCTGCCAGATTTATTTCTCTCGGAGATGAAGCCATAGCTCAATTAAATGGTGGAGAATATTCTATTATTAAGAAACTATTGCGAGAAGGAAATGATAATAACGCATACAAACTAGAATTAAAACATATATTACCAAACGATTTTTTTTATTCTCCATATGAAAAATAAAATATAATACAAATAAAATTATTAATCAAATGAATACAGAACAATGTGTTGTTATTTATTTCTATAAAAAGGGAACTTATTTTCTTAATACATTTAGTGTTCAAGACCAAGTTTTACAGAAAAGATGCATTTTTCGGGTTTTCAGAGTTTAAAATCATTCAACTTCCTTGAAGATTGTTTTAAAAGGGAAGATGAACGATTGAAAACTTTTAATTCCTGGCCCTTAACAAATCCGAAACCTAAAGAGATGGCTATGATTGGATTTTATTATACTGGAGAAGCAGATAGAGTAATATGCTATTTTTGTGGAGTAGACATTTGCTGTTGGAAAGAAACGGACTCCCCAATTGCCGAACATGTACGATTGTCTAGCAACTGTGTTCTGCTAAGGAGAAATTCAACCAACAATATAGCAATAAATCCTAAGGAATTAAATAAAATTCTACCTGAAAAGAACGTTGATACATGTGGAGCACATCATATTACTATTACCGAACAATGTCATACAAACGAAATAACAAATTCCACAGCTGCATTAATATTGAAGAGTTTAACAATGGATAAAGTTTTAATGTTTTTTATATTTTTATTGACTTTTTTTACATGTTTTTATACATATTTAATATACAAATTTATAAATAAAAAACCTTATTACTATTAAAAACAAAAAAATTATTAAATAGTTTTCTCAAGCAAAAATTGTAAACATAGGTGTCCGCAATTGAACGAGTTAAATTTCTGTTTTCTTACATAATTATAAGTTATGTTTGTCCCCAAATATTGTAATATTTCCAATGGTGGCTGCAAATTTCCAAAGCTATCAAAGTATTCACTTTTCTCATATTGTTTATAGTACGCTACCCAATGAGTACCAGGACCAAAATATGAATCGAGGTTTACAATGCCGCATTCTGTGATATGTGGTTTACTAGGAAGTCGATCTCTCATATAAACACCTCTAAAATGTGGAATGTATTTTTTTCCAAACGTTTTAATATCAAAATCGGTTAATGGTCTGTTGGGTAGCTGACTTATTAGTTTTTTGTCGAATTTTGTTTTCTGTAAATGATTCCCATTCCTCTTTTGAATGGTTTTAGGTAAAGTCCATTACCTATAGCAACGTTTTCCATAGATTTATTGTGACGAATATTTTCTTCTAGTTGTTTCCTAGCATTTTTTGCTGCATTAACTGCTTTAGCTATAGATGATCCACCAGTAGCTAATGCTCCAACAGCGCTTAGAGCTGTTAATATTGGTACTATAGGTAGAAACCCACCGATTTTTGGTACTCGTATCACTCTAGGAATAATAATATTTGATTTATTCCCTTTGAACGATTTTCCTATAGATTGGCGTGCAATTTTTATCGCTGAGTTAATGCTGCTTGGTTTTTCCTTCTTTAAAATTGTTGTTGCTTTTTTTACAGCGGATGAAAACGCTTTTCTTCTACATATACTCTTTTGTGGTATACCCATGCCGAGCTTATATTTAGCTTTCATTGTGTTGGAAACCAAATAGGCACTCAATTTTTCACCCCAAGTGCTATCTTTAGCTCTCACTCGCTCCCAGGCTCGTTCAGCTAGTTCTTGATCAGCTTTATTCCGTAGTTTTACGTCTGTGGTCTTGGAATATTCAATATCATGTAGTTTACAAGCAGAGTCTAAACCATTTATGCCTTTATCACCCCTTTCTAATCGTTTTTCCAATTTTGTACTTGGACCGCAATATTGATATCCAGGTAAATGTAGCTCAAATGGAAGTGAATTAATAATACGATTAATTAATCCTCTTCCTTGAAAGCTTCGTTTGCAATTAAATTTATTTTTGAAATATACAATCATTTTATATGTTTATAAGGAATCTAAAATGAAAAAATAAAATATTTATATATAAATATATGAAAATAAAAAATGATAGTCTTCACAATGCGTTTGATTAAGCAGGATAAACATATCAAAGTCAGAAACTTTGATTTTAAGCAAAATATTAACGAAAAACCTAAGCATAGTAAATTATTACCAAACTCAATAAGAGCTGTAATAGTTGGGCCATCAAATTGTGGAAAAACTAACATTATTATTAGTTTAATTGAAATTCCCAATGGATTTAAATTTAAGAATATATATTTATATACGAAATATAAAAGGGATGGGTTATCATACATTTTCTGAAAATGCTGATGTCATACAACCCAATTCGATAATGATATTTGATGATGTTGCGTGTGAAAAACAAAATAACATCCGCGCCTATTTCTGCATGGGTAGACTTAGAAATGTAGATTCATTGTATTTATGACAAATATATACACGGATTCCTAAGCATCTAATAAGAGATAATGCCAACTTTCTCATCATTTTTAAACAAGATTGCGTATATATGAAGCACATTTTTAATGAACATGTTGGAGGAGATATCTCATTTCAAAAATTTACTGAGATTTGTCGTGAATGTTGGAAAGATAAATATGGATTTTTGGTTATAAGTAAAGATGACAGCATTATGAATGGTCAAAAGGATTTGATATTTAGAAAAGGATATATAAAAACCGATAGCAATATACTGACATACCCCGACCGGTTTATTAAAAACCGATACCAGTATACGATATAAACCGATCGGTTTATTAAAAACCGATACCAGTATACTGACATAAACCGACTAGTTTATTATAAACCGCATATTTCTTCAATCTAAATTTCAATATGAATGATAACGTTTTGAAAGACCTTATTAAATCAAGAAGCATTCTTAAAAGAAAATTTCAATCAATTAAATGTAAATGATATTAAAAGCTCTATGAATGCAATGAAAAAAGAAGATACTTTAAAAACTCCCAAAAAAATAAAACACGGAAAGTATGTTCATGTTAAGGACGAAGAAGAAGCAGAAGAAACAGAAACAGATTACACAAACGGAGTCGATAGTTTGAACTCATTATTAAAAAAATAATACTTTCGACACAATATATGGTCCTAAACAAGATGAGAATGGTAAATGGAAATTTGGTAATAGTCCAATGTGTTTTGTTGGCGACAAAATAAAAATTGCTAACCAAACATGGGCTCTATCACCAGGTCTATATAGTCTATTGTTTCATAAAAATCCTAGTGGCTTCGATGCTTTTGAGTTAGAAATATAAAAAAAAAATTGGAAAATACATTTGCACACCGAAAAAATAACCAACCTAATGGACAAATAAGAGGAAATAGAGGCTTAAAATATACACAACGCGCCGGAGAAGGTCTAATGACTGTCAATCTTCCATTCTAATACTTTTAGAAAAAATGCTTCACAAATTTTGGGAATTACTATTGACCAGCATTATAACGTAGACAGGTGAATTTGTAGCTTTAACATCCGGTCATTTTTTTGATAGGTGCCCCTTTATTAGCTCCACCTGAGCCTGTTATAACTGATCAACCGATATCGCTCGTGAATCAGTTTAGAAAGTCAGCTTTGTATTATATGAGGTATAAGCGGAAATTTACGCAAAGATATGTTGTAAAGGACGATTTAGTCGTTAGGTCGTTAGAAAATTTTATCCGGGTCTAGATATTCGTACTGCAAACGGCGTTGTAAAGCGGCCTATATCTAAGTTGGTCATTCTGACCGACCATTCGTCCAATGAAGAAAATCATTAAAATATTTTTTTCTCCTAGTACCATGGACGCATCAAATATGTACTCAATTGATCTGATCGCTGAAATCGAAAATTTATTGCAAAGTGGAGATGGTACCATTAGGACTAAAAACCGCATAACTTCGGAAGTTTTGGATGATTTGGTTCGTCCAATAGCGGCGGTGAAAGTAACCGAGTCGGAAACGGAATCCGTAACTGTGGGTTCCAGAATGTCCCCTATCACAGAAGATCAAGTATCCAAACCCGTAACTGCGGGTTCCAATCGTGTCCACCCATTAGAATCCGTAACTGCGGGTTCTTCGTCGTCTTACTTATCCAGACAAGATCCCATAACTGTGGGTGATTCGGACTTCCTTAATCGTGCGTCAATATCGGAGTCCGTATCTGCGGGCTCCTCGCATTTAAATATAAATTGTTGTCGCGTTTGCAATCGCCGGCACTCGATTGGTACTTGCTGAGATTTTCTTGCGATGTCTGTCGATGCACGAATACACACCATAAATGTGAACCGGGACTGCACACGCTGTCTGGCCAAATGGCATCAAGCCAATGACTGTCATAGTAAAAAAGTGTGTTGGAAGTGTGGAGGTAGACACAATACACTAAAATGTCCGTCCGTTCTCGTGAAAACATAAGGTCTCGTCCGTATCGCAGTCCGATATCAGGTCCGAGATTTAGACCAGATTCAACATCGTCGGCTGATAATCGACCAATCGCCAATTTTATTAATAATTCACTCGGGTCATTACCCTTGCAACACGTGTCGACATTATCCCCCAGTCTTATCGAAGGACTTCAGCATGTCGGCACTTTCAATTCCAATTCGTGCTGTCTTGGATCCTTGTGGTAGGCAAAGCCTAATATGTGCCTCAATGGTGTCTGACCTGAGGCTCCCCACATCCAATTTAGATGGGATCCGGTTCTTTCGCATTTCAGTGACATCGACCTACGACCCATTTCAAACACTATCGGTCATGGCACGGATTGCAGACTTACGCCATGTTGTTACGCCGTTGAAAGCCATCCCTGAACGGACCAAAGAATCGTTTTTGGGTCTACCTCTCGCTGTTCCGTGCTTTTTCAGGCCAGGTCGCGTGGCTTTAGTGTTTGGTCCCGAAATGTACGCTAAAATCTTTACCAATCGAGTGCAAGCGATGCCGGGCTTCCTGTAGCCCACTACACTATGTTTGGTTAGGTACTCTCTGGAGTATGCCACTCTTAATTCCTATATATTAAATGTTCGTGTTTAATTTGAGAAAAAAATAACTGAAGTCGTTATGAAATGCTCACAAAACTGCACTGCCCCACTATATATTCATTTGTACCAATAAATTAAGTTATTTATTGAGTAAGCTTGAGTATTACAACATTAATAATGTTGCAAGGGGGTCGCCAATGTTTAATTTAGAAAATCTATTGATTTCATACTCTTTGCGTTTTCACTTTTATTGTGTTTGAAAACGCATTGAATTCCATATTCGTTACAATATGCATACTACTTAATATTACAACATTGAAATGTCAAATGGCAGATTCTAAAGAGCATGGAATTAGCACCGACGCCACCTTCCTTTATTATTGTTGACACTCACACACTCTTTTTTCGTTGGCCTACCAATCAACAGGTAATCTGTCTTACTCTATTTTTTCCACTCTTCTATATTTATCAATAAATCAACTGCTTTTATTTTAATTTAAATCTAAACAATTTCGGCATCAACAATGAATTTTGTTCAATTTCGTTATCTGTACAAAATGTTCTTATTATTTCAAAGTAATCTACAACTTCTTTTAAAATAACTTTGGGTTGTTTGCAATAAATACCTTCAACAGTGGATTCCCCATCATGAATATTATTATGACATTCTTCAACCGATTTGTCCGCAACAACATCGTCCAAAATATCTGCAACATTTCAAATCAGTTCGTCATTACAATGCTGATATTCTGAGGAGAACGGCCATCCACCACCGCATTCTAGCCAAGCATTTCATTAAACCATATATTTTAGATTACACGAATTTTTAATTTTAGAACTAATTTTTGTTATTGTATATATATAATAGTTTTTTAATAATTTAAATTTTTGCACCATACTACTCCTATGAATTTGTCCATTATTGACATTTGCAAATGTTGCAAGAAATATAAAACGGCATATACAATAGAACTTTCAAACATCGTGGTCGAAATGCTGGGGCCGAAGATAACAAATTGCAATTTGTGGGAGTTACCATCTGACAAGGAGTGCTCGCAATAGAGCTATCTATGTGCAATAGATGTCTCTGATTTCACTTTCGACAAGAATGACTATTACAATTTTTGACCTACGAAGACAACTTACACACAAACGATGCCTTTTAGCTAATTTAAGTCTATCGGCGGGTGTACTATTTACAAACCGATGGCAAAGGAGTAGCTATAATAAGTGGTTCTGAGTCACTTTTTATAGCCAAAAAAGCTATTAAAAACAGTTTAGTCAATAAAAACGGTTTTAGGCTATAAATATTGGACGATGTAATTGGAAAAATACGTCATAAATTTAAATATTGATGAACATTGCGTAATGAAAAGTGGATCACGCATTAAAGCATTGAGGGTGGTGGACAGCGAGAAGAAAGATCTTTGTGAGTAGTCGATTGAGAGGGTAATATTATCATGTATCTGGCTGCTAGACAGAAATATGAGGGAGACTGGTTGTGTGTTTGCATTTGTTGTTGTTCGTTACATTTCGTTGCTAGGCAGAAATATGAGGGGAGCTGCCTGTGTGTCCATGCATATCGATTCTAAGCCGAAATATGCGTTCGAGTGTTCTTGTTGTCATTGTTGTTGGGTTTCTTATATTTCTTGGTAGAAAAAATATGAGGAAAGCTGCCTGTGCGCCGAAATGTACTTTTTTCTATTTTTTGTTATAGAATTTTTCAGGCTGGAAAATGATAATGAATATTATTAGTATGTGATTATTAAATTATAAGTTTTTCAATAATGAGGAATCACAACAACAACAAAGCAGTTATATGAAGCCTGAAGCACTAGAGGTTGCAACAAATACAGTTTTGCATAGACCTCAAAAAAGATTCCATATGGAGCCTGAACAATCGAGTCATATAATGATGAATTCCAGTGCAGTGCTAGTAAATTCCTTCAACAGTCTGAACTTAAAAAAAATACTTTGTATAAAGGACATGGAATCTAACAAGGAATATATCATCAACGGAGCATATAAAACACAAACCAAGTTTGGAAAAAAGTTGTTTTAAAGCTAGATGACTCAATTTTATATCCCCCTGCCAGATTTATTTCTCTCGGAGATGAAGCCATAGCTCAATTAAATGGTGGAGAATATTCTATTATTAAGAAACTTTTGAGAGAAGGAAATCATAATGCATACAAACTAGAATTAAAACATAAAAATAAAATATAATACAAATAAAATTAATAATCAAATGAACACAGAACAATGTGTTGTTATTTATTTCCATAAAAAGGGAACTTATTTTCTTAATACATTTAGTGTTCAAGACCATGTTTTACAGAAAAGATGCATTTTTTCAATTTCCTTGATGATTGTTTTAAAAGGGAAGATGAACGATTGAAAACTTTTAATTGCTGGCCCTTAACAAATCCGAAACCTAAAGAGATGGCTATGATTGGATTTTATAAACTGGAGAAGCAGATAGAGTAATATGCTATTTTTGTGGTGTAGACATTTGCTGTTGGAAAGAAACGGACTCCCCAATTGCCGAACATGTACGATGGTCTAACAACTGTGTTCTTCTGAGGAGAAATTCAACCAACAATAAAGCAATAAATCCTAAGGAATTAAATAAATTCCTGAACGTAAAGAACGTAAATTCCTGAACGAAAAGAACGTTGATACATGTGTAGCACATCATATTACTATTACCGAACAATGTCATACAAACGAAATAACAAATTCAACAGCTGCATTAATATTGAAGAGTTTAACAATGGATAAAGTTTTAATGTTTTTTATATTTTTATTGACTTTTTTACATGTTTTTATACATATTTAATATACAAATTTATAAATAAAAATCTTATTACTAATAAAAACAAAAATATTATTAAAAAGTTTTCTCGAGCAAAAATTGTAAACATAGGTGTCCGCAATTGAACGAGTTAAATTTCTGTTTTCTTATATAATATAAGTTATGTTTGTCCCCAGATATTGTCATATGTCCAATGGTGGCTGCAAATTTCCAAAGCTATCAAAGTATTCACTTTTCTCATATTGTTTACAGTACGCTACCCAATGAGTACCAGGACCAAAATATGAATCGGGGTTTACAATGCCACATTCTGTGATATGTGGTTTACTAGGAAGTCGATCTCTCTAAAATGTGGAATGTATTTTTTCCGAACGTTTTAATATCAAAATCGGTTAATGGTCTTTTGGGTAGCTGACTTATTAGTTTTTTGTCGAATCTTGTTTTCTGTAAATGATTCATTGCCTATAGCAACGTTTTCCATAGATTTCCTGCGACGAATATTTTCTTCTAGTTGTTTCCTAGCATTTTTTGCGGCTTTAGCTATAGATGATCCACCAGTAGCTAATGCCCCAACAGCGCTTAGAGCTGTTAATATTGTTACTATAGGTAGAAACCCACCGATTTTCGGTACTCGTATCACTCTAGGAATAATAATATTTGATTTATTCCCTTTGTGGTATACCCATGCCGAGCTTATATTTAGCTTTCGTTGTGTTGCAAATCAAATAGGCACTCAATTTTTCACCCCAAGTGCTATCACTTGCTACCAGGCTCGTTCAGCTAGTTCCTGATCAGCTTTATTCCGTAGTTTTACGTCCGTGGTCTTGGAATATTCAATATCATGTAGTTTACAAGCAGAGTCTAAACCATTTATGCCTTTATCACCCCTTTCTAATCGTTTTTCCAACTTTGTACCTGGACCACAATATTGGTATCCAGGTAAATACAGCTCAAATGGAAGTGAATTAATAATACGATTAATTAATCCTCTTCCTTGAAAGCTTCGTTTGCAATTAAATATATGAAAATAAAAAAGGATAGTCTTCACAATGCGTTTGATTAAGCAGGACAAACATATCAAAGTCAGAAACTTTGATTTTAAGCAAAATATTAACGAGAAACCTAAACATAGTAAATTATTACCAAACTCAATAAGAACTGTAATAGTTGGGCCATCAAATTGTGGAAAAACTAACATTATTATTAGTTTAATTGAAATTCCCAATGGATTTAAATTTAAGAATATATATTTATATTCGAAATCACTTCATCATCCAAAATATAAATATTTAGAAGAACTTATTACGCCTATAAAAGGGATGGGTTATCATACATTTTCTGAAAATGCTGATGTAATACAACCCAATTCGATAATGATATTTGATGATGTTGCGTGTGAAAAACAAAATAACATCCGCGCCTATTTCTGTATGG